CTGGAGTCCAGCCCTCCCATGTTGGAGGTTGGAAGCGATCCATGCGTGCGTTCTCTAGGTCGTCTGCGCTACGGCCTTTCGCGGCAGGGAACACAGGGGAGAGTTCAAGTAGTCACGTAATCAGCACAATTTCGCGGGTGCGGGCACTATCAACTCGGCCGCGCTCGCCGCGGCGCGCCCGAAATCGTGAAGAAAATGGGGAGCCCGTTGTGATCTAGTAGCGGCTTCGTCCCACACCACTTCTATGATTTCTTTGCGTTAGAGGTGCTTTTTGCTGAATGGCTGCAAGAATCGGCAGGTATAGGATGGGAGAGTACTTGCAATTGAGAATTGTCTCGCATTCACCTAGTATCTCGTACTTAATAAACTCTCTGAGACTAGTTGCTGTTAAAGATCGTTTTTTTTCACGTTTTGTTCAAAATCGCTTCTTTTGGCAGTGTTCACCTGTAGGGGGGGGGGGGGGGGGGGGGAGGCGGATTTGGGTGCAAGTTGGCGCGTTTACCAATTTTGTGCAAGAACCTTGGACGACTTTGAAAGTCATGAACTGCCAGAGGATTCATCTTTATACCATTTCTCCGATATTTTTATATGATGTGCACTTTTTGGTTCTGGATAATGTGATGATGTATTGTGAAGGAACGAGCATTTTTGGAGAAGAAATGATGAGTTCAGCAAAAATCTTTCCTCGATGAACATCTTTTTATTTGCTTATCGGTTTCGCTCTTTGTTCATAAACAGACCTGACCTGTAGTCCAAGTTATCTTTAAAGCAAATTGAAATGAAGGCATATATTTTTTTACTGTTGGGCGCCTTGTAGCCAAACAAATTGTTGATAGCTCTGCACAAAATGTATGAAGGGTCTCATCCGGTAAGAGGGGGCATTGCGGTGCACGGTCTGCTCTAATGCCAATTTGGCTCAAGGAGTCCTTTAAAGTTACGAGCTGCTATCAGCTTTTTTCCTATGTTATTTCTTCAGGTGTTTTGTGTAATGTATGTATTCTTGTACTAGATGACATTAACGTCTACGAGAAGTGAAATTCACCTAGTTAGCAGGTCAGGACTAAGCCCAGGAGGGGGAGGAAGTCCCCCCGGGGAAAGCCAAGATTGCTCACGGATCCGGGGACTCCTTCCCTTCTAGCAAGGGCTTAGCTGACTGTCTACAATAAAATAATGTGCTTTTCAGTTTCGAAAATGCTCTGAGAACGCTTATGCCCCCCCCCCTTACTGCGATGAGACCCTCTATGAAATACTTTGTCAGCGAAAGTTTGTTTGTTAGAACTGGACACTTTCACTGGACAAGAGCGCTGTCACCTTGATGAATAGCGAAACACGACAGCTCTCTGCAGCCGAGGTGCGCAATATTGATTGATTTATGTGGCCGACGATTTTTTGCCATGACTTCTCATGATTGCGGTTTTTTGCTTTGTTTTTCTCCTACAATATTGTCCATTCATTGATTCAATTGTCTTATATTGGCTTATGAATCATTTAACTGTAAATAGTAAATAGATTATCGGTTTACACAAAAGCTGTGTAGCTATTTCACAGCATTGGCGTGAATACTGTGCTATTGATTGGATAAATGGAACGGTGGGTCGTGTTCAGAAGTTTCTCCAAATCTTTTTCTTCTCCAAATGCAGCTTTTCGTTTTTAAAAGCGGTATTAACTCATTCCGCGTGCTTCCACTGATATGGTTTTGACAGCAACCACCTCTTGGATAACAAATCTTTTGTGGTTTGTTAATTGTTAATTTGTAATTGTGCAAATATTTCTCCAAAAAGAAGCTCCAATTGTTCAAGCAATTGTCTTATTTTAATTACACATAGTTCCTCGTTCATAATATTCAGGTCCCCTGCATCGTGCCATTTGTTCAGCTTACATTTCCTTTTTCTATTGGAGGGAATGTTCTGTTTTGGTCAAGCAGATGTATGGTGAATATTTGATTGAATAGTTATTTTTCAAATCAATATTTGATCTTCACTTCTAACAAGTTGAGATGGTCCTATATGTGCTCCTAGATAGTCAGTGCGAAGGGCATCTACTGCTAGGCATTCCGTGGTGGTTACACTTTTTGATTACTAAATTTCTAAAATAAGTGACTTGATGATTTTTAATTTTGTTGTGAGTTCCAAATCGTCCCAAATGACCATAAAAATGGAAATACTGGTTCAAGTAGTTTTTCCAATTGCTTTTCTTTTTATCCGGCTTGCTCTGCTATACCGTTTTTGCTAGCCTTCATCTGTTCTCCATCATTCTGCAAATTTGTCCAGGGAAACCTTTTGACTTACCTTTCCTGGTTTCTAGTCTTTTCTTTGGGGCCTCAGTATTCTTAAATTTGCTCAAATGGTTCGGCTGGGGATTTTCTACAGGCCATGCATTGTGAATACATCTTTTTCGTGTTTTCCATATAACCTTTCAGTTTCGCAATTCTTTCTTCTTTTGTGTTATTCCCCATGCATTTTCATTCTGATTCATATGTTTGATGCATCATTGGCCTTCTCGCTCCACGAAACCGCCTCTCGTCTGCAGAACATTCTCGATCGAATGCCGCGTTATTTCTGGGAAACCTGTAATCGGCGACGATTTATGGTACACATTTCCGTCGCCATACAATTATCCTTCACCAGTCTTCTCTTAACCTTTATAATTTTTCATTTATGAATCGATTTTTATTTCAGTGCTGAACCGTTTTTCAAATGTCATGTCGCGTATACGTTAGTGATTCCCTTTATGAGCTTATGCCTAGCTTAATGCCATGTTTTGCAGCGCGTGGACATAGTGGACGGCTCTGCGCTGCTCGCTCGCCTTGTAGTCTACATTCTATCCATCTTCAGCTTTTCGTAGAGTGTGAGTTTTAATCGATTTAATTTCCGCGGTTAAGGGCTGACACATTTTAGTGTCTCTTCTCGTTGAATTTTCGATAAAGACATCATTTCATATTCCTAAAACGTTCCCAGAAATGTAATTACCTATTTCTTATTTCAGCGATTATGATTGCAGTCTTTTTAGTATTGAGCCCCTCGTTAACGAAAGTTGTTGATCAAGGATTACTTATTTGAAAAAAAAAACGATGGTTTCCCATTTCCATCCCTTTCTGACATTACTGACATTGTGATAGGGGCTGGAGCCGGGGCGTTTCACAAGCCCGTGGGCCTCCGGCCGAATATAAATGAGGCTTTGTCTTGCGCTATCAGAAGTGGATTGGTTTTGTTCGTTCATTAGTTTGAAGCAGTGTGAGCAAGGCTGGCTTGACACGCTACACGTAGACTTCAAATTAGCTAGCATCCTTCCCGAACAAGCGTTCTGTCGGCAAAAGTGGTGTCATTATAGCAGAAGTGGACGCCGCCACCAAGTGAGACAATCACTGAAGAGAAAGGAAAAGATTCCTCATAATTTTTTTTTCGCAGAGGTGTGATCATTTGGGGCAGAAATGGAGGGCACTTCTTGATCAAACACCTTACCATAGTCGTGTTCTAGATCGGGATGAGATGTAGTTGTATATATGCCGGCATCAAATAAAATTGATTGCAAAATAACATCCTTTCGCTCACTGGGGCTGAGAGGACCAGTACTCAGTAACTGAACAAGTTAGTGAAGAAAGCAGCCGCATTCGCGTGGTAAAATTGTTCCACTATTTCAGGAGAGTGGGGTTATCCGGTTCAGTTACGTTCCGCTCCTCATATTTTCTAGCTGTTGCCTTCGCAGGCTATTGTTATCCTTTTGCCAATAATTGTTTCCCGAGCATTTCGGGAACGGCTCAAGAGCTCAGACTATTTTTAACTGCCTCACGAATTTCCTATTGTCGTATTCAATTCTTTCTTGGATTTCATTATTAAATTTTCAATGGCGGATCTGCTGGCATGTGTGGTAGGCTAGGTGATTAATGAACTTTTTCAACAGCAGCAAGAGGTTTTTTCAAGCAAATTGAAGTTAACACTGCATGTAGTATCTCTTCACGGATTTTGAGCTGATCATCTCTAATCTTTGGTATTCGGTCTTGGAAGAGAAAGCGACGCAGCCAGCCGAGCCTGAGGTCATGCGTTTGCTCCATACATATTCTGTATGAGCGTCTGCATAAAAAGCGGAACAGCTGCTCCATTTCTTTGCTTTTCTTCGCTTTTTACTAGTGAGACGGTTCGCATCGTGGTTGAGCTTTCTAGAAGTTTAGTTATACATGTGTGTATGTGCTTCTCTATAAAATCGCTAGTGTTCTATTAGTGGAATCGACCATATTTTCTGGTATTGGTCTTCAAATTACTGCATGATCTTTCTGTTTTAGCATGGTTTCCTGGCTAATTGGTGAGATTAGCGTGTTCCGTGTCTATTCAGGATATGTGCGTTTTTTTTCGCTTTTGTGTTCGCTGAATTGCTCACATAGAAGGTTAACGAAGAAATGATTTATGGCACAGGAGCATATGGCGGTAATTCTATAGAGGCTGCAATTTGTGCAATGCTGGGCTGGTCCGACTGTAAATACTAAGACTAGGAGAAGTTTGCGTTGTGGTTTCTTCGGTTCCACAAGGTTCTTTGTCGCGCACTTCTTAAGACTCATGCGCCGCTGCAGCACTTATTACGGCTCAGAGACGAAATTTTGTACTGAACATCGCGGAGAACGATCGTGCTTACATTCTTCTGGTATAGTTATTGGTGGTAAATTCGTTCCGGTGCTCAAAAGCACTGAAACAGACCCTTTATATTTGGCAGCCACGTGCGTCCTCAAGGCTTGACACCATTTAGGCGGAATCAGTGGCTCGCCTAGCGAAAACCCCGAGACAGTCAATGTCGCGTGTGATTTATGGTACTTTTGATGATGCACGCTAATGTGCTAGCTCTGCATTGGAGGCCCACCTGGGCTGGATTTAAAGGGTACATCGCTTGCCCTTCGCAGGTCATTCAAGGCCAAAAACTTCTGCAAAAGCTGCTGCCATTCTGAAGGCAAGTCGAATGCGGCACACCTAAAACGGAAGGATTTCCGTGGCTGCTTCTTTATTGTGACGATTGATTAAATTAGGAACGCTTTGACGCTGGTGTATGTTATACAGTATCAGCAGATTTTGGAATTTTTCATTCCATTTGGCTAAGTGCTAGGCACCGGTGTGACGGACGTCGTTGTCATAATTTGCATGTGAAATTTGAGATCTTCGGTGTACACTTATGTGTCAGCACACGGCTACATCGGACCTCCTGCCGACGATTTCGAAGTGTTGAAGGGCTCAGGAGCAAGCATGGGCAGCAGGCGCTCAAATATCGAGTTGTACTGGTAGATGATAGTTTCTTTTCCAATTTCCGTTGAAAATGGAGGAGTTTTTGCTCCTAGCTGGCATGGCATGGCGATGTGATTAGGTAAGCCTTTCGTGTGGTTGCTATATTCGCTTGGGCGCCTACCGATTTTTTGATCGGTGCGTTATAAAGACATAGTGCGTACTAGTGATAGTCACCTCTCAGTTAGCGTTGATAAAGAGCATCCTGCCTGGGGCTATTCAAACCGCGAAGTCCCGTCGCTACAGATTTGAACTACATATATTAATTAAAGTAACACCCCCATACGAATTTGTGGGGTCACAACAGTTGATAGTAAAGTTTTTTGATACCGAATTGATTACAAATGAAAAAAAAAGCAAGAAAACCATCGATGAAGCTCAAAACAAAAGTTCCCCTGAAAAAGGAAGGGGCGGGGCCGGACGAGTTGTACGAACTTGCCTGCTCCACGGCTCAACTAACCCGCGCGTATTTGAATTAGCCGCTACGCCGTAATCCACGTTGCGTGTCATGGGTGTGCGCGACGTAACTCGTCCAAATGCTAAGATTAGTCGCCAAATGCTGACTTTGTAAGACCCTAGCGCCATTGTCGCGCACTTTCGAGCCGCGACAACGGCACATCTGTGCTACTCGTGGGCTACTCTATCCCACCCACTGAATAGATTCTTCCACTTGACTGACTCTTCGACACACTATTGAGGGTGTTGTTCCAAGAATTGAGCTGTTTTAAGTCAGCATGCAAGTCAGTTATCTAGTGGACTTGTTGGTTGCAACAACAAATTGTCTCTAGAAGCTGAGACAGGCGCCGGGATAGATGTTTCCGCTTAACGTTGCAAAGAACTTGTGCAGGTCCCGCGTCATTCACTCCTATGCTGGTACTTGAGGTTTCGAGAACCGTGCAGTTCATTGGCCAACTCGCAATTCATATAGTGCGAAAACTTTTTGGGTAGCGAGCTTTCTATGTAATGTGTCATTTAGGATTCCAGTCCTTGTATAAGTCTATTTCTAACATTTTTTTCGTGCGCTACTTCATAATAGTTATTCAGGGGCACGTACCGTTAGATGTTGCCATTATTGAGGAAAATCAGCGTCGATTCCCGACCGTAGCATGTTTATATATGCTCGAACAGCAGTTAAAGATGACAGTTTTCATTCGAGCAATTGCCAAGCAACTTTTTTTTCCAAGAACGAGGGAAATCCTCATCTTCAATATATATGATTGTTTGGTTACCAGGCGCTGCGAATTGATTCTATATTGACTGAATAGGTTTCGAATATTTGTGAAGTCCATATGAATTGGTTATTTGATGCAGGAATTTACGTGCCTCATCATTAAAGTCACGTTTTCTCGTTTATGTGTTCTATCTCGAGTTTTATAAGCATCTGAATGGTGAGTTACACAAAAAAAACCATCGAAATGTATTTCCAAAAGATTTTCAGGGGATCTCGAAAGCATCAAATTAGGTCCAAAATCATGCTCCTGAAGGAATCCTTTTCGACCTTTGTTTCGAGGTATCTGCAGTTTTTTTTGGAATTCTTGTTATTTCTGGAGCCTTTGTGTAATTCAGTATTCGAAATCACCTGTGGAATAGTTTTCTCTTTGTACCGTACCTATTGCCGTTGACTAGTCACGTAGGCGAAGCAGTAGCGACGATAATTTGACATACAGTAACTTGACATTTGCGATCAAAGGGTGGTCTGGTGGTTGCGGAACGGTTCTGTTGTTGGTAATCGCGGACTGTAATTGGTAATCGTTCATTCGTTACATTTGAACTTTTGCACAGGATTGCTTGTTAGTGGGTAGGGGTGAGGATGATGTAAGTACCGAAGAATAGTCGGGACAATGAGCTGTCACTAACCATAAGTGCCATTTAATAGTACAATGCAAAGTGCTGATCTACGCTCATAGCACTCAAACGCGTGGTTCAGCTTGACCGCGGTTTTTGGGTATGGGTATTTCCTAATGGAACATCCCCTCTGTCGCACGATCCACTTAGTGTTGGGAGGAACGCATTCGATTTAAACATTAGCATTAGCGCTTTTTCACAATACGACGTCACTGCAAGCCCGACTTCATGGAAGATTTTATCTATAATGTTTGTCCGTGGTGCCGATTTGCTTGCTTGTTTGTGGAATGTTGGTCTCGTGGAAACCAGTCATTTTACAGTTCGAGACAGAAGATTTGAAGCATTCAGTGATGTTATCTATTTGGCTTTGTTCTCATCCCTCCAACAGTTCCATACGTCAGGGAATGGAAAAGAGACAGACAGGGGTAGTCTTTTATAGCGGAAACGCTTTGGAAAATATTTTTTCTTCACCTAAAGGTAAAGACGGAGCTTACGATTAGAACGAAGTCGTAGAGGATTCAAATGAGAACTAGATGATCAGTGGCGCCGGGATGAAGAAAAATCATGAAACAGCCCAGAGTCCAAAGAAGGACCCCTTCCTTG